AATATAATGCAGAGTTCTGTCATCTAAAGTGGCCGTTGTCTACACTCGGCGGGGCTGATGATTGAGTGTGTTTACGCCGAACCAACGCCACTATATCTTCTTGGCTTCGCAGGGGCGTCCGTTTATCTTTTTGACACACATGTGCGTACGGGTGTGTGTGTGGTGTGTGTCTGTGCGCAGCTGTAAGCTTGATTCATGGGGTGTGAGTTGCAGTCTTTTGTTTTATCGTAATGATTATTATTATCCTCCTATCCTACATTCTTATTGTTATTATCATTTTGGTTCGTTATTATGCGAAAACCTGTTCATCGTGTAAGCTTGAGTTCATGGGGTGTGAGTTGCAGTCTTCTGTTGTCATCATTAATGATATTATTATCCTCCTCATCCTAACATTCTTATTGTTATTACCATTTTTGGTTCGTTATTATTGCGAAAACCTGTTCATCCATGTTTTATTTCTTAGATCAAATGTGATACTATGATAATTCATATAATGGTATTACAAATCCTTTGACCTAAGCCACACCCTCCTTACTCAGCCTCCTACCTAGGTGTACTTCCCTGCACTGAACAGAGCCAGTAGGACCTGTCTCTCCCTGTCTCACGAATGGAAAGTTTGGAGGCTCCAAAAAGAGCGCTGGTTCGACTTCTTATAGTCTAAGCGCGAGGTTCTTTGAAAAAAATGTAAAGAAAGCTAAATAGATTGTAAAATTGAGGAGGCCTTTACCTCCTGCCACCTTTGTCCAAATATCTATCTATCATCTATCTGTTTATCTATCCATCTATCTACCCCAACATTATCCATTGCCTTTAAAGCATAAGGAAAAGCAAAAGCACAATAAGGGACAAGCCTGATCACCTGTATTCCATTTGCTTTCGTGTGGATAGTCACTTACCGAGCACACATCCGTCTATGGTGTGTAAATGTGTGAAAGTGTTTAAGCGGATCTGAGAGAGAGAGAGAGAGAGAGAGAGAGAGGAGAGAGAGAGAGAGAGAGAGAGAGAGAGAGAGAGAGAGAGACAGAGGAGAGAGAGAGAGAGAGAGAGAGAGAAGAGACAGAGAGAGACAACATACAGACAGACAGACAGACAGACAGACAGACAGACAGACAGAGACAGACAGACAGACAGACAGACAGACAGACGACAGACTGACAGACAGACGAACGGACTGACACACACACACACACAGAACGTGAACAACGATTTAATCACGAATAACAAAATAGACACAGCATTCGCAGGAAACACGAAATCACTGAGAGGAGAAATCCTGCAGTAAATCACAGGTACATGTTCGTTAGGAAGCACTATCACTGCATTGTATTTCCCTGAGGAAGGAGCCTGGTGTATCATTTTAAAAGTCTTAGAAGCCGAGATGTAATTCAATTTAGATCTGATTATGCTGTGTGTTGTTATCATGCTCCTTCTCTCTCTAACTATCTGTCTTGTCTCTCTGTCTTCTCTTCTCACTCTCACTCTCCTCTCCTCCCCCTCTCTTTCTCTCACTCTCACTCTTCCTCCCCCCCTCTCTCTCTCTTTATCTCTTGTGTGCGTGCGCGTGCATCTCTGTGTGCGTGTGTATGTGTTATATGTGCACGTATATGTTCATGTGTGCGCGTGTGTGTCTGTAGGCATGTAAACCTCAACAGTTCCCCATGACCTCAACACAACTTAAAATCCCAACTCAAGCTCCAAGCCTTCTGCCTTTTGAATTCAGACCTTCTGGTGTTGCAAGAGTTGTTGTTATTCAATCAACCGAACGCATGTCTACTGGGAGGGCGTGGCGATCTCAAAAGGGGTGTGTCCCAAAACATTACGAGTGTGAAATAAGATTGAAAGATTTTGCTGGTGCTTTACAAGAGTGCTTGGTAAGAAAGATGGAAATACATTACTATATATACTTTTATACATATTTATACGTGCATACATTATATATATATATATTATATATATATATATATATATATATATATATATATATATATATATATATATATATATATATATATATACGCATTTATATTTGCGTTCAAACCCTCTGGTTTGTTTATGTTTTTGCTCTATATTACAACCTTTTCTCACGTGCCACATCGGTCGTGCCGCATCGATCAAAATGCTTTATTTCAGACTGCACGTATTGCCAGTGAGTGCTCTTGTGGGCAGGAAAAAATGTGGGCCAAATGCACAGTACAAGGGGCCTCCAACTACAGTGTTTTAGCTTAAGGGAGTGTGCAGAGGGAGGGAGGGGAGGGAGGCAGGGAGGGAGGGAGAGAAAAAAGATTCCGAGGAGAAAGGGAGGAGAGGGGAGGGATGAGGAGAGATAATATAGATGAAGAGAGAGAGAGAGAGAAGAGAGAGGAGAAGAAGAGAGAAAGAGAGAAGAGACAGACAGACAGACAGAGGAGAGATAGATAGAGAGAAGAGGGAGAGAGAAAGAGACAGACAGACAGAGAGAGAGAGATAGAGAGAGGCAGAAAAAGAAAAAGAAATAAGAGGAAAAAAAAGAAAAACACCGAGAAATAGATAGAAAAAAGTATCCAACCCAACAAATGATAAAGAGAGAAAGAAAAGGAGACAAATTATAAAAAGAGAATAAAAAAGAGACAACATTCCACCCCATCAAAGCTGATTAGCCTCATTAAATCTCGTGATCAGCAGTTACAGGTAAAAAAAAAAAAAAAAAAAAAAAAAAAAAAAAAAAAAAAAAAAAAAAAAAAAAAACTCACCTGTCCTATCTTATCAAACCGTGTTCTTGAAGAAGTCTCCCGATTCCCCTAATCGACACATCAATCATCGCCTAAAGATTATGCGCGATTAGGTGGTCAATGTGTGTGACTTAGAATAATTTTGAGAGAGAGAGAGAGCTCGGGTCGGGATAATAGCAGGTGATGGTGATGGAGGAGCCGGGGAAGCGGTTCGAAGCTTTGCTCATGAAGGATAAAAAAGGAAGGAGAGAGACTTATTTTTCTGAGATCTTTGAAGGTTTTATATATTTATCTTTTTTATCATTGTGATTGTTGTTGTTATTATTGTTATTGTTATTGTTATTTATTATCATTTATTATTATTATTATATTGTTATTTATTATATTATTATTATTATTATTATATATTATTATCATCATCACCATCATATATTATCATCATCATCATCATCCATCATCATTATGTCATTATCTCATCTCATCATTTCATCATCATCCTCTCACTATCATTGTTAGCAGTATTATTATCATTATCTTTATTATCATTGTTATTATTATATATATAATTATAATTATTATTATCACTACTACTGATACTTTTATCATTATTATCGTTATCGTTATCAATATCATAATCATTATCATAATTATCAGTACTATAACTATTACAATTGATATCGTCACTGCTATTAATTATATGGTTCATAAGTAGTATTCTTGAATTTGTATGAATAATATACTATCATTTATATCATCATATCATTCCTTTTCTCAAATAGTATAGAGTCCTAATTAAGAAAAAACTATAATAAGAAACTAATTACCAAGGAAAAAAAAATCAAAATAAATAATAAAAAAATACAGAAAAAGGAAAAAGGAAAAAGAAAAAAGAAGCGAAAATATATAATAAAGACTGAACACAAAGTAAATAAATAGATAGATAGAAAAAAAAAATAATTCGCCTCTGCAATAGCTAATGGACTTCCGATGGGTTTATTGAAAACAAAAGAAACGCGAAGAAAGAGAAATGCATTCTAAAAAAAAAAAAAAAAAAACATTATTGGAAAAAACGCAAAACACTGCCCTCTTTCTTTCTTTTTTTTCCTGCAATTTTCCCCCGCATGAAAACCGCTAAGAGGGACTTGAGCGAGAAAACGCTAATGGCTGCCTTCGACGTCGGCTAGCTCCCCCCCCCCTTCCCCCCTTCCCCCCTCCTCTTCTTATTTCTCCTCCCTTCCTCCCTTACTCCTTCGTTCCACTCCTCTCTTCCCTTCCCTCTCCCATTCCTCTAATCCTCCCCCTTCCCTCTCTCTTTTCTCCATTCCTCCTTTCCTTCCCTCTCCATTCTCCACCTCTCTGCCTCCCTTCTCCCCCTCTCTCTCCCCATTCCTTCCTCCACCTTCTCCCTGCCCTCGCCTTCCCCTCCCCCTCTCTCTCCCCCCATTCCTCCAATCCTCCCACCTCTACCTGCCCTCGCCTTCCCCTGCCTCCTTCCCCCTTCCCTCTCCCTCCTCCAATCCTTCCTCTCTCTTTCCTTCCTCCTTCCCTTCTCTCTCCCCTTCCAATTCTCCACCTCTCCCTGCCCTGCCCCCTGCCCTCCTCCTTCCCTTCCCTCTCCCCTTCCTCCAATCCTCCACCTCTCCCTCCCTCCCCTTCCCCCTCCCCTTCCTCCAATTCTTCACCTCTCCCTCCCCTCTCCCTTTCCCTCTCCCCTTCCTCCAATCCTCCACCTCTCCCCTTTCCCCTCTCCCCCTCCCTTCCTTTTCCCCCAACACGCACTCGAAAACAATTCCCTTTCTTCTCGCACGTGGCCGAGGCAAGGAGGCAGGTGAAAGGCGTATGAAATATTCCCGCAAAGCTATTTTACGTCGAAAGAAAGAAAGAAAAAAATCCAAAAGTCTGATTTATATTTTCAGTGTTTTCACGTTTGGATCTACATCTGTATCTATCTCTATCTACCTATCCGTCTCTCTTGCTTTTGTGTTTTTGTTCATCTATCCATTTATATTTTGTTTATCTTTAATCTATCTATCTACCTTTGTTTATCTGTTTTACGTTTAGATCTGCATCTCTATCCATATCTATCTATCTATCCGTCTCTCTACCTTTATGTATTTGTTTATCCATCCATTTATCTTTGTCTATTTTTAATCCATCTATCTACCTTTCACTATCTATCTATCTATCTATCTACCTACCTACCTCCCTACCTATCTAGACAGTAAATATATATGTATGTATAATCAGCCTTCACGTTGTCTTCACGCCCAACTTCCCCGTCGCCGCCCACAGGTCTGGTGTGAGCTGGAGGAGGACGACAACGCGTGGACGGTGCTTCAGAGGCGTGGCTCCAGGACCTCCGAGATGCCTCACCCCGTCGTCGACTTCTTCAGGGACTGGGCCGAGTACAAGTGGGGCTTCGGTGACCTCGAGGGCGAGTACTGGCTGGGTAAGTAAGGCTCTTTGTTGTCATATAAAAAAAAAAAAGAAAAAGTGAGTGGCTCTTTGTTGACGAGGAGAGGAGTCTTACCAGAAAAAATGAAAAATTTGACCAAAATGATAAAGATATAAAGAAAATTATGAATTAGGTATAATTGATGCAATATAAATCAAAGAAATAACAAAAACACAATAGAAAGGAGACGATTACAAACACACACACACAAAATAAAATAATGATTCAAACCCAAATACTAAAATAATATATAATTAAAAAAAAACAGAAAATATAAATAGCCGTCCTCCTTTCATCATAATAAGAGAACATGCAGATACTATAGCATTCTCTCTTCCTCCCTACCCTCACCTCTCTCTCTCGTCTCTCTCTCTCTCTCTTCTCTCTCTCTCTCTCTCTCTCTCTCTCTCTCCCTCTCTCTCTTCTCTCTCTCTCCTCTCTCTTCTCTCTCTCTCCTCTCTCTCTCTCCCTCTCTCTCTCTCTCTCTCTCTCTCTCTCTCCTTCTCTCTTCTCTCTCTCTTCTCTCTCTCTGTTCTGTCTTCTGTCTCTGTCTCTCTCTCTCTCTCTCTTCTCTCTCTCTCTCTCTCTCTCTCTCCCTCCCTCTCCCTCCTCCCTCTCTCTCTCTCTTCCTCTCTCCTCTCCCTCCCTCCCCCCCCCCAACAGGCAACGAGTACATCCACCAACTGACGCAATCCGGAGACTACGAGCTACGAGTCGACCTGCTAGACTGGGCCAACGAGACTCGCTGGGCTACCTACAAGCACTTCTCACTCAGCAACGAGGATCACAACTATACACTCAGCCTTGGAGACTACGAAGGCACAGCTGGTGAGTGTTTCTGTGGGGGGGGGAGGGGGCGGCGTGTGTGGGGTGGGCGTGGGGCGTGTGTGTGTGGGGTGTGTGTGTGGGGGGTGGGGGGGGCGTGTGTGTGGGGGAGTGGGCGGTGTGTGTGTGTGTGTGTGTGCGTGGTGTTGTGTGTGTGTGTGTGCGTGTGTGTGTGTTGTGTGTGTGTGGGGTGTGTGTGTGTGGTTGTGTCTGTGGCGTGTTGTGTGTTTACCGGCGAGTGCCTCTGTGCATAGCGTGCGAGGTTTCAGTCACAGAGGATTGTACTCCGCGTAATGTATGGAATTTCGCGCCCCCTGAGAGAGTACAGAGCCAGAGGAGAGAGAGAGAGAGAGAGAGAGAGAGAGAGAAGAGAGAGAGAAGAAGAGAGAGAGAGAGAGAGAGGAGGAGTGAGAGAGAAAAGAGAAGAGAGAGAGAGAGAGAGAGAGGAGAAGAGAGAAGAGAGGAGAGAGAGAGAGAGAGGAGAGAGAGAGAGAGAGAGAGAGAAGAGAGAGAGAGAGAGAGAGAGAGAGAGAGAGAGAGAGAGAGAGAGAGAGAGAGAGAGAGAGAGAAGAGAGAGAGAGAGAAGAGAGAGAGAAGATAGACAGATAGAAAGATAGACAGATAGATAGATAGACGGATAGATAAATAGATAGATAGATTAATAGAGTGAGAAAGAGACGGAAAAAAGTATTATGACCATACTGCACACACAAAAAACATACTTACACTTACATGATATAAAAAAAAAAAAAAAATAGCGATATGCTTGCAGGAGAGAAAGGGGGAAAATGTTTATATGCCGTTTGGGGGGCTTGAGAGAATCTTAAAATGTTGATTTAATAGTGTTTGCTCGGCGAATGTTTTCTCAATCCACTGTGCCTGTTCGTGACTGCTCTCGACTCTTCTTGATTACGTCGCTTCAGGACAATCAGAGAGTCCGTTTCTCGTGTTGACTCTCATGACTAAGGAAAACAGGCCATTTTGGGTTGGATAATGAGGAATATTTTCACGAACACGCATGTATGCATTTTATGTGGATGTGGATGTTTGTATGTACGCGTATAGATAATGTGCATAAGTACATAGATACACACACACAAATACAAAATCACACTCAAAACCACTTGTACACGCATACACATACAAACACATACACACACACACATGCATACACACACACAACACAAAACACACACAAACACAAATAAACCAAACATACAAACAAACAAAAAACACAAAAACACAACAAACCTACCAGAATAAAAAAAAAAAAAAAATGACCGTTACCCAAAACCGTTACCATTCAAATCCCAAACTCACGTGACCTGCGCCTTGCCTCTCAGCCTTTTAACCTTAAACTCTACTTCTCCTTGCCTTTATTTTCAAACTCTTATTTCTCCTTCCTTCTCGTCTTCTTCTGCAGGTAATTCCCTCAAGTACCACCAGGGGGCTCCCTTCAGCACCAGGGACAGGGACAACGACTTCAACCCCCGAGGCCACTGCGCCCGGACCTTCCACGGCGCCTGGTGGTTCACTGCCTGCCATGAGGTGAGTCCGAGTTTCCTTTTTCTTTTGTTTCGTTTTTTCTTTGTTGTTGTGTTTTTTCTTTTTGTTATTTTTTTGTTTTTTGTTTTTTCTTTATTTTGTGTTTTTTGTATTTTTTATTTATTTATTATTTTTTTGTTATTCGTATTTTTGTTTATTTATTGTTTTAAAATTTAATAAAATTACTTTAAAAATTATTTTCTTTTCAATTTTCATTTATATTTGCCCTGTTATTAAATTACAAAAAAAAAAAAATAAATGATAATAATAAAAAATAAAAAATAAAAAATCAAAAACAAAACAATATTCCCACAATCTGGTTAATAATAATAAATAAATAATAAAAAAAAATGAATTCAAAATAAAATAATAATAATAATAATAATAATAATAATAAAAATAATAAAAAAAACGCCAAATTCCCACAGTTACTCATTTGTTTTTCTCTCCCTCTCTCTCCCCACTCCCTGTGCAGTCCCACCTGAACGGCCGCTACCACCACGGGCGCCACAAGAGCTACGGCGACGGAATCAACTGGATGGCCTTCAGAGGACACAACTACTCCCTGAAATTCTCCAGGTTGATGATCAGGCGCACCAACCTCTAAGGGCGCTTCGGGAAGGTCGCTTCATCTTACAAACGGATTTTTTGGGGGTTGGGGGTGAGGGAGTGCTTCAGGAAGGTCGCTTCACCTTATAAACGTTTTTTTTTTTTTTTTTTTTTTTTTTTTTTTTTTTTTTTTGGGGGGGGCGTCAGGAAGGTTGCTTCACCTTATGAACTGATTTTTTTTTTTTTTTTTTTTTTTGGGGGGGGGCGATTTAGGAAAGTCGCTTCACCCTACATAACGGATTTGGGGTGAGGGTGGGGGGGGGGGTAAGGGTGTTGTAGGAGTTATATGTATATGTGATGGTTGTCAGTCCGTATTGAATTCCGTGTACGTATAACAGAAGGTTGTATATGTGTTGGTTTGTGTGTATATACGTGCATGCATATACATATATTACATTTACATACATACATAGACACCCACATACACACGCAATATATATATATATATATATATATATATATATATATATATATATATATATATATATATATATATATATATATATATATATATATATATATATATATATACAGATACACACATGCACACACACACAAACATACACGCGTATAAATGTGTACATGTGTACAAATATATACATATCTACGCACATATACCCTGTCATTTATATAAATACCAACATTATCCATAGGAACAAAGTGATGTCCCAAATGTGATTTATTCACAAGCATATACTGTACAGTACAGCGTATATACACCCGTGCACTTACAGTACTGTAGATATATGCAAGAACAAGTAGATAATCCCAAGTAGATTATCTTTATCTATGTGTGTGTAAACATATTTTTAATATTTGGATAAGTTTATGAATATGGACATATGCGTATCTGCATGAACTTATAAGCAAACATACATATGTGCATTTAGGGGTATGTATACATATCTTTCAACGTGGACGTATATACGTGATATATACACACACGAAAGCACGCCGACAACTGGCAACAGCAAAACTTTTCTTTTACTTAGAAGTTAAGCCCGACACAGCACTCCACAGCTGGCACATTGCGAGACAGAAAGAGGAAAGTAAAGCACATATCACATACCTTCAAGTCCTTGCTCTCTTTTGCCTCCTTTTCCTCCCCAAGAAGCCGGGGTTCTTGGCCTTATTGCGAGAGCGGAGGACAGAGGCGGCGAGAATGGCCTCGGAGGGAGGGACTGGCGACAGAGAGGAGAGAGAAGGGAGGGAGAGAGGAGGGAGAGAGAGGAGAGGAAGGAGAGGAGAGAGAGGGGAGTAAGACTTTTGGAAGAGACGTGGGAGTTCTTAGGTAGTTGGAGGGGGGGTAGGGGAGGGGGAGTAGGGGTGAGGGAAGGAAGGTGACTGTAGAGTCCTAAAAGAAGGAGTCTGATATTTGTTGGCCAAGTTACGGAAGTCCCATAAGTGAGGAAGTTTCAGGGAACGACCTCGCGGGTGCCGGCAAAGGTCCCCATAACACACATTGATGTGTTATCTAAGGGGGTTCCGGGTGGTAGCAGAGGGAGGGTTAGGGAAGCGGGGGGGGGGCTAATGCGTCCCCTTAAAGTCTGGTTATCAAGTAGAAGGGAATGGGATCGAGTTGGGGTGAACCCTGACCTTTCCGCCGGGGGAAATAAGCCCCCTGGCTGACCTTTCTCAAAGAGGCAGAAGCCGGATTTTTTCATCTTATTCTCTGTAACCTGTTAAGGTGTGTATTCAAACTTTTTGCTTCTTTGTTACCTTTCCTCTTGTGATATATATATATATATATATATATATATATATATATATATATATATATATATATATATATATATATATATATATATATATATATATATATATATATATATATATATATATATATATATATATATATATATATATATATATATATATATACATATATGTATGTATATATCCAAACAACTATACGAATGTATGTATGTATATATGATCTGGCTTTTTTAATTTCACAGGATTTTGATTTTCAGAAATCAAGAATCTCTGTGTTACAAAACGATTATTTTTGGTTGATGGCGACAAGGGCGAGTTGCCGCTTGTCGTCAGATTTGCGACTCCTTGGCTTTATTTCTCATTTTTATATATTCTTTACTGATAGATGAGATTGCTTTAAGTCGAGGAGAATCTATCGATTTATTTTTTTTCTTTCCTGTCTTTGATTTATTTGTGTTCTATCGAATAGGATTTGGTTGTTGGTTTTGTATTTTTTTTTCTCTATCTCTTATGTCCCTTTTTGTTTTTTGGTTTATGTTTAGAAGTGAATTGAGAGACGTTGACCAGTAGTCCAGACAATAAGAGGAAAAGGAATTGAGGGGACATTAAATAACCGAATTAACGAACGAAGTAAACCGAATGGAGACTATCTAACCCTCCGTGTTATTACCGTGTGATAGGATTCCTTAACTTCTTCCTTTCTTTCATATTTCTTTTCCTACTCCGCGTCCACAGTTTGGAATAGAAGCGTGGATAGAGCGTAGACAGAGGAGTACGTACTTGTTCCCCTTTTTCTTAGTAGAAATTAGTGAGA